TTCCACCTTTGCCTATCAAACGAACCCTTAGTTTCAAATATATTTTGATTATCCATTTTAACACAAGTCCATTGGTTAGAACCATCATGTCCATAGACAAAATCATCACAGCTATGAGATCATCTCAAAAGATCAACACGTCTCTTTAGTAGGTATTGTTATCGATTTTATTCCACAAATAAATGGATCGTAATAAATAATAAAGTAGTGAGTAAAGTATCGTCCCACAAAGATAGATTAGTGACTTCTTTAATTAAAACTGACTTAGAAAACACACACATATGCAACTTAGTAATGACAAAGAAAGCAAGTATTCACGTAGAAATTAATTAAGAAAATAGTTAGGACTCCCGATTTCCCTATCAGTTAAAAGATAAATCTGAGGACACTGCTACCTAATCTACTAAACTTATCCAAGCAAGCTCGGTTTCACAGGGAATTCAACCACATCTCAACATTAATAGAAGCTTATCTCTAAAGATTGAGGATATTGACTCTATAGCATCATCTCATCATTAGTAGAAACATATCTCCACGCAATATTAGTTGTAACATTTCTATTAGATAAGGCTTATTGTTATATCTTTGTATTTTAAAATTTAGGAGATTAGATTTGTACCTTATCGGAATAGATTTGTACCTTATCTCTTGTAGGCTATACACTGTCTTGTAATTCTATACTTTAATTACTGAATGAAATACAAATTATCTTTTCATTTCTCTATACATGTGTAACGACCCGACCTCGCACCGGAGCCGTTATCTTACGTACTATCCGCTTCGGGTTCGAGTTAATTATACAATCACGAGTCACTTCAAACTAGATTATATTTCCATCATATTACTCTTCCTCTCTTCTTTATTTTATCTTTTCTTGTGTCACTATAAGATTTTGGGCTCCAAACAACCAATTTTCGGGCTCAGAAAACAACCAAACGAACACTACACTTCCAAGGCTCGACCCAAAACTCCTACACCAGGTTGTTCCAAGATTTACATCCCCACAAAGGAGATATGGTGGTGGTGATGGCAAGCCCACAAAGGGAAGAAGGAGAAGAGAATAACAATGGTAGGAACTCACCTAGAAATCCACCACTCCATAACCCGGATGCCTCTCTCTCGGCTCTTCTCTTCT